CTACAAAAAAAAAAAAAAAAAAAATCAGAAAATCAGTTGGGCACAGTGGCATGCACCTGTAGTTCTGGCTACTCGGGATGTTGAGGAGGAAGGATTGCCTGAGTCCAGGAGGTTGAGACTGCCATGAGCCATGGTCACTGTGATCATGCCATTGCACTCCAGCCTGGGCAACAGAGTGAGATCCCAGCTCAAAAAAGGGGGGTGGGCTCAACCTCCTAGACAGAGTAGTGGAGGAAGGTAAGAGGGGGTGACATTTAGGAGGAGAGTTAAAGATGAGAGGGAGCAGCATAAGAACGGAAGGAAGCACACCCTGCACTGACAGCAAGACTGGCTCTGTGAGGCAGCGGCTGCCACACCCAAAGCTCAAAGCACAAAGAGGTGGTAACGTAGGGAACTGGCAAGGAGAGGGGACAAGGCACACTACTACTAAGAAGAGAGGGGAGAAAGGGAGGCTGAAGTTTCAGACTCTGGCCTGCAACCCATCTCCACCAAGAGCCCTGAAGTCAGTAGTCACTGAGCACAGGAATGGAGGGCCCCAAGCCTGAGTCCTCAGCCCTCGTATCCTCCAGAAGTCTCCTCAGCTAGGCATATATGTCAGAGTCTGCTCCCATGAAGGCAGAAGACAGCTTTGAATGAAAGCCACAACAAATACTGCCAACATTGCAGTAGTCTGATGGCTCTAGTCGTCTGACTCTCGACCCTTCCATATAGCCTTCCACCATGCCTGGTACCTCACTGGGCCTTCCCACCTCTCCACCTTGGATTCATGTGGCCTGCTTTGGCCAATGGAATGTTAGCAAATGTGGAGCAGAGGCCTGAAAATGTGCTCATGTGTCTCTGCTGGTACTTCTGCCCTCTGCTGTCACCATGAGAAGTGGATACCAAGGCTGGCTTACTGGTCCCAGAAGGAGGGTGACAGGCAAGAGTCACCCAGTCACTCTTGCCAAGGCAATCCTAGACCAGCCAACCTCCAGACGTCTCAACAAGCTCAGCCAAGGTCACTAGAGCCGCCTGGCCGACCACCCTGGCTGACTGGGCAATAAATGCAGGTAGCTATGTATCACTGAGGTTTTATGGTTGGTTGTTAAACACTGTTACTGGGGCAACTGATCACTGAGACACCACATTAGATACTCCAGATCTGTCAAGTGAATAAGCAAGTTCCTATTTCATTTTTTAAAATTAATCATTTAGTAATTATCAATTGTGCAAACTACAGTACCTTCTATACAGGTTTTCTACAAAAATGTATCTTGCACTGTAAATCGATCGCTCCATCAACCGTACAGGTGTCATCTAAAGGAAACAAAAAATGATTCACTAACTCAGGGCAAAAGGAGAGAGTCACAAAGCCTTGAAAAATGCTTGTCACTCCCCCTGCCTCAGGTCTTTGCTGAACACGAGAATCAAGAGGTGGTGGGGAGTGTGAAGCAGGCACCTGAGAAGAAGTCGTGTCTGATGTGTTCTGCTGAGCTCCTCCCTCCACCCTGACCTGACCCACCCTGACCTGCCCTGTGGCTATGTGGAAGACCAGCAGTGCCAGGGCTGTGGGCCTCCTTCGCGAGAGAGGAGGAGCTCAGCTGAAATGTGGGTAAGTGCTGGAAAAACTGCCAAGTGCTGTCCACTTGAGGCAAACTGCGGTTATTATGACAGACCTAAACAGGGTAAAATTGCCTATGTGGAGGGATCACAAGCCTAACGTAGAGCTCCAAGAGGGCTGGAGTGGGGGTAATGTTCTGGGGGCTCTGCCTGTGGAAACTAGGAAGGACTGTGACCAGGAGGAAGGAGGATGGTCTGACATCACCCTGTCTGCCAGGGTGCTCCCACCCTCCACAGACAGCCTTGCCCTTCATCTGGCATTCCCTTGAGAAGTAGGAGGGGCCCTGGCCCTTCCATCAAGTGGACAAATTCTGCTCAACTTGGTTATGGCCCATGGCACCCATGAATCCTAGGTCAACATATCAGAGGCAGATTCAAAGCCATAACCCAGACATTTCCTCCTTCTCCCTGTTTGTCCATCCACCATCTTTTCCTTCCTTCCATACTCCCTTTCCTTATGACTCCCCTACCCATCTTGTCCTAGTTTCTCACTCACCCATCTCTCCCCTTCTATTCATCTTTTCTAGTCTGCCCTTCTCTCTCTCTGGCTCTGCCTCTTTAGTGGTAGAGTTCCTTAAATAGAGGAGCATACTTACATCCCCTTATATTCAGATATTATTGGATACAATTTAGGTCTACAATTGAGTTCCCACTCAGGAAAAGTCTTTAGCAAAGAGGAAATGCACTCGCTTCAGATCCTTTGGTCTGTGTAATTTAGCCAGATATTTGAGGAGATGGAAATTCGTATTCACCAAAAAGGTTCTGCTCACATCTTTCAATTTTAAAAGACACAGATTCAAAAAGGAATGACACCTATAGTTGCAGGCACCCAGCCCAATAGCTGTGCCAGTGTTGACCTGCTAGGAATTTCCCACCTCCTCCATACAGAGCTGTAAAGCTGGTGTGTTAGGTTGTGCTTACAGATTTGAACCACAGATGCCAATCAGGACCTCCTCAGCCACCCTTTCTTCTAAGAGACTCTGTCCCTAGTCACATCTCCTGATGGAATGGGCCTAAGCAACCATGTTTATGTCTTGGCACCTTGCCCCTAACACCTGATTGAAGAGGGCTGGACACCTGGCCCAAGCTGGACCAATCAGATTCCTTGTCACAAAAATTTGAACTAAGAGCCAGACCCCATGAAGGTTAGATCTGTGGTTCTGAACTTGGAAACAAACAAAACATGCATTCAAGTAACCCACAGGGCTTGATAAAACACAGATTTCTCGGTCTCATCCCCAGAATTCCCAATTTAGTAGGTCTGGAATGGACCGGAAAATATGTACTTCTGGCAAGTTCCCAGGTGATGTTTTGAGAACTGGGTTAAAGGGTGTTGAACGCAGCAGTCATCGGATCATGAAGACGTGGGCTCAGGATGGCCTCGGGGGGGAATACCTGGCTGGCTGTGGTTGATGGGTGGGGGGCACTGGAGGCCAGCCTACAGAGAGCTACAGGAGCAGGAGACCTTGGCCCCAGACAGAGAAGCCTATGCAGCACCAAAGACCCAGCTGGGCTCCCTTAGGAGGTTTCTCTTCCTGACAATCACATGCTCTTAATTTCAAGAAAATTTTGTTTAAGAAGGTTGAAACTGTACATCCAAAACATACCTGAGGATGCATGTGCTGCTCCAGCATGGTAAGCTGCACGTATGTCTGCAGTGTGAGGCCCCAACGACTGGCATCGTCATACATCAGACCCTGCAGAAGGGAGAATGTAGCGTTTTATGTCCAAGTGGCATCTATAGGACACTGGTCTCAGGCACCAAAAACTGTCTCAAGAAACCCACATGGGCAGGGCTGGGCTAGAGATGAACCCAGGGTCACAGGGCCTATAGAACAGGACAAAGAAGCTGGGCTCGGTGGCTCAGCCTGTAATCCCGCGCCTTTGGGAGGCTGAGGTGAGTGGATTGCCTGAGCCCGCGGGTTCAAGACCTGCCTGGGTGGCAAGATCTCGTCTCTACAATAAATCAAAAAATCAGCCGGGCGTAGTAGCGCATGCCTGTAATTCCGGCTACTTGGAAGGCTGAGGCGGAAGGATTGCCGGAGCCCAGCAGGTCGAGGATGCGGTGGCCGGGAGCGGCCACTGCACTCCAGTCTGGGTGACAGAGTGAGACTCTGACTCAAAAAAAAAAAAAAAAGAACAGGACAAAGATAGACACTAAATTGTTATAGATCAGTCCAGTAACAGCCATATTAGGAGATTATATAAAGTCTTGGGGGTACCAGAGCAATTAAGCAAGAGAAAGAAATAAAGGACATCCAAATTGGAAAGGAAGAAGTCAAATTAGCCTTGTTCACAGACAACATGATCTTACATTTAGAAAAACCTAAAGACTCCGCTAAATAACTGTTAGAACTGTAAATAAATTCAGTAAAATTGCAGAGTAGAAAATCAATATACAAAAATCAGTAGCATTTCTATACACCAAGAGTGAACAATCTGAAAAAGAAATCAAGAAAGCAATCTCATTTACCATAGCTAGAAAGAATATAAAATACTTTAGAATCACTTTAACCAAAGGAAAGAATGATCTGTACAAGGAAAGCTATAAAACATTGATGAAAGAAATCAAAGAGGAAACCAAAAAAAATGGAAAGATATTCCATGCTTATGGATTAGAATTATATTTTTAAAAAGACAATAACATCCAAAGCAATTTACAGATTCAATGCAATTCCTATTAAAATATCAGTGACATTCTTCACAGAGATGGGGAAAAAACCCTAAAATGTACACGGAACTACAAAAGACTCCAAATAGCCAATGCAATCCTGAGCACAAGAAAAAAAAAGTGGAAGCATCACATTACATGACTTCAAAATTTACTATAAAGCCATAGTAATAGTCAGGACTATAATTCCACTGCTTTGAGAGGTTAAGGTAGGAGGATTGCTTGAGGCCAGGAGTTCAAGACCAGCCTGGGCAACATAGCAAGACACCATCTCTACAAAAAATTCAAAAAACTAGCCAGCCAAGGTGGTACCACCTATGGTCCCAGCTACTCGGGAGGCTAAGGAGGAAGGATTGCCTGAGCCCAGGAGGTCGAGGCTACAGTGAGCTGTGATTGTGCCTGGGTAACAGAGTAAGATCCCAACTCAGGAAGAAGAAAAAAAAAAGGCTTGCATCAAAAAGGCAATAACATACTGATGATGTGGAGGATATGGAGAAAGGGGAACTTGTGGACACTGTTGGTGGGAATGTAAATTAGTACAGTCTCTATGGAGAACAGTATAGGAAGTTCCTCAAGAAACTAAAAATAGAATTACCATATGACCCAGCAATTCCACTGCTGGGTATATATACAAAAGAAAGGAAATCAACATATTGAAAAGATATCTGCACTCCCATGTTTATTGCAGCACTGTTCACAATAGCCAAGATATGGAATCAACCTAAGTGCTCCTCAGTGGATGAACAGATAAAGAAAATGTGGTAAATATACACAATGGATAATATTTAGCTATAAAAAATGAATGAAATCTGGTCATCCGCAGCAAGATGAATGGAGTTAAGTAAAATAAGACAAGCACAGAAAGACAAATCTTACATGTTCTCACTCATGTGGGATCTAAAATACAGATCTCACGAAAATAGAGTAGACTGGTGGTAACCAGAGGCTGGGCAATGCAGGGAGAACTGGGGTATGAGGAAAAGTTGATTAATGGGTGCAAATATACAGTTTGAGAGAAGAAATAGGATTCAATGTTAGAAAGATCAGTAGGGTAACTATAGTTTACAATGATCTATTATACATCTCAAAATAGCTAAAGAAGAATAATTCAAGTGTTTGTAGCATAAAGAAAAGATAAATATTTAAGGTGATGGATATCCCGAGGACATTGATTTGATCTTTACAAATTATATGAATGTATTAAATTACCACATGTATCCCGAAACTATATACATCTATTATGCATCAATAAAAAAAATAAATGAACAAGAAAAATGTTAATAAAAAATGTGTAACCTCCTTAAAAGAATCCAACAAAAACTAGTGCTATGGTTTCAGTGGGTCCCCAAATTTCACATGTTAGAAACTTAGTCTCCAATTGTGACAAGACTAAAAGGTGGAGCCTATAGGCAATGGTTGGATCATGAGGACGCTGTCCTCATGAATGGATTAATACATACATGGATTAATGAATTATTATGTGAGTAGGACTGGGGGCTTTATAAAAAGAGGGAGAGAGACCTGAGCTAGCATACACAGCCTCCTGGCCATGTGAGGTCCTGCGCCACCTCAGGACTCTGTGGAGTCCTCACCAACAAGAAGACCTTCACCAGATGTGCCCCCTCAAACTTGGACTTCTCTGCCTTCATAACTGTAAAAATAAATTTCTTTTCTTTATAAATTAAAAAATAATAAAAAAATTAAGTCTCCAGGGAATATGCATTCAGTCATTCAATAAATGTCCTTTGAGCCTCCTATAATCTGTTTCTCTGTTCATCTGCCAGAGCACATCTATTAAACTTAAATCAGTTCCTGCCACTCCCTGTTCAAAACCTTCCAGTGGCTTCCCATTGTATTCAGAATGAAATCCAAACCCTTATCATGGTTCACAGGACCCATCTTCTCTTATCTCCTCCCCAGCCCAATCTGCTTCTAATAATAGGAGCTTCCTTAGTGTTCCCCTAAGCATGATCCTTCCTCAGTGCCTTTGCACCTGCTGTGCCTTGTGCCTGAACACTCTTCCTCTGGATATCTGCAGTGCTCCCTCCCGCGTGTTGAGGTCTCTACTCAAATGGCATCTTATCAGAGACACATTCCCCAGCCATCCTATCTAAAATAGCAGCCCACCTACCCCCAATCACTATCACTATAGATGCAAAACACCTCATGCTCCATAGTCTACTTGTGTATAAGCCTACTTGGCTCCTTTCTGCATTTTTGCTTTTAGTTTCTCTCTTGGTGCAAACTAATGAAACTCCAGTGCCCCACATTGAAAACTGCAGACTCTCCAACTGAGGGTGAAAGAAAATCTCAGAAAAGTTAGGAGAAACACTCTTTCTTGCCTAATGGTTACAAAAACAAATGCCTTTCTGCATCAGAAAATCAATTCCAATGAAAAGACGAATCGAGGCTTTTCACAAAACGATTAATCTTGCTCTTCTGTTCAGAGCAGAAACTTGTGTAAAAATGCTAATTTTATTGTATTTTTCTATTATAAAATTCTCAATGGAAAGGCTATTTGTACCAAGGATACTCAGACTTCTGAGACTGTGATTCTGTCCTGTGAAATGTCACCTATGATCCCTGACATCTGCAGTGCTAGTTGTCTTCTTCATAATCAAGCCCTGGTTCCTCCATGGCTTCTAGAGAATGTGAATGTTTCTGAGTTGGTGTTGTTGTTGTTTTTACACCCAAATAAGACCACTGGCATTCCATCTCCTCCCACATCCATAGAGGTGAAATTCTTTTCAAGTCTCCATGGGATTCTTTATCCAAAGATGCTGAGAGGTTTTTGCCTTATTTAAGAAACATTGTATCACTGGCTTTAGTTTACTTCATAGCTGCTATCATCATTCACCATATTATACATTTAATTGTCTTCTGCCTCCACACCAAGAGAACAGGGGCTTTAAATTGCTCACTGCCACAGTGCATGGAATAGTGTCTGCCACATGCATACAAAGGCATGCATTAAATAGCAGTTAAATGAGTAAATGAATGAATGAACAAGCCCCTACTAAGTGCTAGGCAGTGTGCTTGTTTTAGCAAATAACAATGAACAAAATAGACACAGTCCCTTCTCCTAGAAGAACTCAGAATCCAGTGAACCACACTGGAAGATGATAATTATACTGCTAAAAATGAGGGGGCAGCACAGGCTTCCAAGTCCAAGGTTTAAACCTAAAACTGCTGGCCAGGAGCAGTGGCTCAAAACTATGATCCCAGCACATTGGGAGGCCAAGGCAGGAGGATTGCTTGAGGCCAGGCGTTGGAGATCAGTCTAGCAACGTAGCGAGACCTAATCCCTACAAAAAATGTAAAATGTGCACGCCTATAGTTCCAGCTACTTGGGAGGCTGAGGTGGGAGAATTGCCTGAGCCCAGAAAGTTGAGGCTGCAGTGAGCTGTGATTGTGCCACCACACTCCAGTCTGGGTGACAGAGTGAGACACCAAGTAAAAAAAAAAAAAAAAATTAGATCTGTCATTTACTAGCTGTGTGGGTGTGGCCTTGGGCAATTTATTTAAGTTACAATTTGCTCGCCTGAAAAATGAGATAGATTGTCCCTATGTCATAGAATGGGAACCCAGGACCAACATTCCTCTCTTAAACTCTCTTACAGAACCTAGATTCTATGCTTCTCTTTCAAGCAGCCAGAGTAGAATCCATTCAGGGAAGGAAAAAGAAAGGTATAAACACACTATAACCCGTGCTTGCTAGATCCACTCTTGGGAAAGCAGACAGGTGGCTTCAGGGTGAGCCAAAGGTGGATCCTGTTATGGGACACTGCCAAATGCAAACCTTAATCTGGTGTTCACCAAGGAACCTAGTTACTTGGAGACAGGTCCTGGAGGACTAGGCCTAGGAAGTCCTAGGTTCTGACAGGTTTCTTCTAGGAGAAGAAGAAGGGAAGCTGGGGGCTCATGCAAGAAACAACCCACTCACCAGAGGATTATGGCCATGGACATTTCTCCACTTGTGCACAGGTTCTGTTAACACCTGTAAGGAAAGAAAACATCAGAGAGCTATCATTCCTTAGTTCTGAGCTCTGTGGAAGTGCCAAAGTGTGAAAAGAGAGAATAGGGGAGAAAGGGAAAGAGAGAGAAAGATTATCAAGATTTGAGTTCCCAGGGTGGGCCAAAATAGCAGTAACACCCTCTGTGAAGCCACAACTCCATCTAGATACAGCTTCCTCATGTAACTTCCAGAAATGACCTGAGAACAACTCTATCCATCCCTATATTCAAGCACAGTCACATGCCACCTCTCTGGCTGCCTGGGGAGCTCTCCAAGGCAAGGATGATTCTCTCCATCTCTCTTCTGTGTGTTCTACTCCAGCCCTGCCTACCCACCATGTCAGGCTGGGCAGGGGGTTGGGAGAAGCCAGGAGGGAAGCTAGACAGGGTACAGGGTACAGCCCAGTTTGCCCACTTGGGAGCTTGCCCATGACCTTGACGGGTCACTTGCCTTTGTTCCCTTCCTCTCACGACTGCACTGGGTACACTGGCTGCTAAGAGTTCATGTTTCTTCAGCATGTGCTCCTGTCTCACTGGTATAGAGGCATTCTTTCCCTCTTGTCCTGTTTGTACCTTTTAGATGATTGCTAACTCATCCTACATCCTCCATGCTCTGAGACAAAGATCAGAATGATGGGCATTTCTAGAGCTTCCATCTATAGTTTACACACTCAGATCTGGATAATCCAAGACTCTGCTGGAGCCTTTCTGATATGCATGTGTGTGCTAGAAAATATTTAAATGATATCCTTGGGGCCAAGATTTTGAGAGTGCTAGGATCCATCTGAGGACCTTCAGAGTACATGTGAGCAGGTGCCATAGGTGACAAAGACCAAAGGAAGGTAATGTATAAGACTCTTGAAGAACAACATCCTCCCACCCTTCACACCTCTGTGTCTTTGCTCATGCTGTTCCTTCTACCCAGCATTCCCACCCCACCCCATCTCATATCAACTTCCATTACGTGAAAAATTCCCATACATCCTTAAAAATCCAGTTCAAATATCCCTTCCTCTATAAATTATTCCTTGCCTCTCCCGATCCCCCCTTCCTTCTGAGTCTTCAGCATTCCATTCCCAGCCCTTAAGTAGCAACCTTGCTCCCTGACCCTGTCCAGGGGTGCTCTGTAGCACTGTCACTCAACAAACAAATATTGAGTACTCACTGTGTGCCAGGTACCCATGCTATGCACTGAGGACACAACAAAAGCAAAGCCACCTCAGTCCCTGCCTTCACAGAACTTTAAGCCTACTAGAGGAAGCAGACAATTCTCAGGTAATCACAAAAATCAGCATACTTTCAAACCTTGAGAAGAGAGGTACAGACGGGTCAGAAGAACCTACATCAGGAAGGGGAACCTCATTAGGGAGGTCAAAGGACAATTAGCTGAGATCTGAAGGGTGAGAGTCTTCCCAAAGCCAACAAAGCTCTTTGTACCAAGGAAGAGCCAAACAAGTGAGTGGCCCCTAGAGCCAGAAAGCCTGGGCTGGGATCTTCACCGTGCACCAGCCATGTGACCCTGGGCAAGTCATTTAACCTCACAGGGCCTTGGGTTCCTCGTCTTCAATTGAGATTAAAATAGTGCCTACTTCCGAAGGACTGTCCTTGTAAGGATGGAATCATTTAGATAATATGATGAACCCTTAACACAGTCCTGACATATAGTACTTTACTCATTAGAAGTTAACTATCATGGTTGTTATTAATTGGTTCTAAGGTCTTCAGTGAAAATATAAGCACTTCTAAAGTGTCATTCAGAGTTACACCAGTCAAGACAAGTGTCTGGAGCTCCCAGGATGTCTCTCTGCCCCAGGTTTGATGATTCATGGGGAAGACTCACAAGACACAGCATATAGTCATATTCATAGTTAAGATTTATTGTAAAATAAAAGGACACAAAAGAAGATCAGCAAAGAGAAAAGGTGCATGTGGGAAAGTCTAGGGGAAACCAAGCACAAGTTTCCAAGGGTTCTCTCCAGTGGAGCTGCACAGGACACGCTTAACTCCCGCCAATGAGATATGACAACATGTGTAAAATGTTGTCCACCAGGGGAGCTGACCTGAGCCTGAAAGCTCAAAGTTGTCATTAGTGCTTAGGCACGTGGGCAGTCACTGCCTGACATGTACCATAATTCCAGACTCCCTAGAAGAAAGCAGGTATTTGGCATAAACCATATTGTTTAGGCACAAGGAGCTACTGTTATCAGTTAGGAATGGTGGGAGCCCTCCAAAGATGTAAGTCCCAGATGCTAGCCAAAGGCCACCCTTGCAAGCAGAACTTTCTAAAGGACAGCAGTTTTAGGCCTGCTATGTTCACTCTTTGCTGCACAGCAGCACATGAATACAGGCAAGACAAATAATGTTTATTATTATCAAACCATACATATTTTTAATAGAAGTAAACATGGGAAAAGAAGGAAGAAGGGAAGAAAATGACTAAAAGTATGGAAACTGTAGGATCTGTAGTAACAAAAGAGAGCCATGAAGAGAAAAGACTACATCACTAAAATCTAGAACAAGGAAGACAGGTCAGGGTCTTAATGTAGAGAGGATTCTTAAACATCTGTGAGGTTATTTTTAGTGATTGGGCTTTAAGTGAACTAGAAATTATATTAACTGGCTATGCACAGTAATACTCCCCTGCTTGGACACTGATATCTTAGAAGTCACACTGTAACACCCTAGCTGTTCTAGATTGGCTGACCTTTCTTCTTTCACATGTCCCTTCTTGTCCTAACCAGATGGTGGGGCACACCTGTGCTGTCCAAAACAGTGGCCATGAGCCACATGCAGCTATTAAGACCTTGAAATGTGACTAGTCCAAATTTAGGTATGCTGGAAGTGTAAAATACATACATTTTGTCATCCCTAATCTGAAAATCCAAAATTCTTAATGCTCCAAAATCTGCAACTTTATGAGTGCCAACATGATGCCACAAGTGGAAAATTTCACACATAAGTGCTTAACACAAACTTTGTTTCATGCAATTTAAAAACTACTATATAAAATTACCTTCAGTCTATGTGTGTATGGTGCATATGAAACAGAAATGAATTTTATGTTTAGACTTGGGTCCCATTCCCAAGATATCTCATCATGTGTACACAAATATTCCAAAATCTGAAAAAAACTGACATCCAAAACACTTCTGGTCCCAAGCATTTCGGGTAAGGGATACTCAACCAGTACCATATTCCAAAGACTCAGTATGAAAAACAGAATGCAAATTAGCTCATTGATTATTTTATACTGACTACACATTGACTTGATAATGTATGAAATAGACTGTGCTAAATAAAATGTTCTTTTTGCTTAGTGAAGCTATTAGAAAGGTTAAATTGTAAATATGGCTTACACTCGTGGCTCACACTTCTATTGCACAGACTGGTCTATATCCTCCATAAACTATTTCATCATGCTCTTTCAGTTTCCTTCAAACCCAGTGTAGAGGCCATACCTCAACATCTGTTGTGTTGGAGAAAAACTTCAGGCAAGTCGTCTTCCCACTTGCAATATTGCCCTCGATACAGATCTGACAAAAGACAAATGTACATTAGAACCAGAAATCAAGTGCCTGGGGAACATCAGGGAATGATTTCTAGGAAAAGGTTCAAGTGAATAGCAGAATTGGTTCTAAGACTTTGGCATGTAAACCAAAATCCTGCCCCAGGCAACCCCTAAGATCCCACTATTCATAGTAACAGACAGGCTGATCCTCCCCCATCAGTGGCAGGTGCAAGTGATCCCTCCAGACGAGACCCTCCATTACGTCAACACCTAGACCATGCACAGCTTGTCTGTCCAGTCTAGCTCCACTCTTCCCTAGTTCAAACTCTCAAACTATTCTATTTTACACCTAAGTGTTCTGCCTCCTTAATCGGGGCCTAATCAACAGCTTTGAGGTCAGGAAAAAAAATGTATGTTACCCAGAATTGAATTCACTGCTTTGTTCAGAAAAAAAGCACTGGGTCACTGACTAAAGAGTAGTAGGAAAGGAAAGAAAAAAATGAGGACTTTCTTGAGCACCTTGTCACAGGCCAGACCCTAAGACAGGTAACACACCATTATCACATCTAACCTCAGCAGAACCTGAGCAGGGGTGGGTCCTAATATTTTTCACAGAAAAGTGAGTCTTGCAAAAGTGAATAAAGCAAGGACAGCTTGAACCTACACTCTGCTCTCAATGACTGCATCTGGGGTAGGGAGATGGTCATGGCACAAGACAGCCACCTGGAGTCTATCTATCCCAAAGCCCCAGCCAGGAGCCTCCTACAAGTAACTCATCAAAGGAAAAGAAGGTATTCGAGACAGCAGTTCTCAGCCTCAGTTATATGTTAGAATCAAGTGGGAGCTTTTAATAATCTCTACATGGAAGCCACAACCCAGACCAATTATACCACAATCTCTGAAAGTAAGACTCAGGCCTCAGTAACTTCTAAAGATCTCCAGATGATTTCAATGTGCAGGTCAGGCTGGGCACCACGGGTCTGGTTTCTCAATGTGTAGTCCACAGATACCTGCTTCAGAAGTACCAGAGGAACTGGTCAAACATGACAAAGCACTAGCCAGCACCCAGAACCTCTGAATTGGATTCAGTTGGAGCCCTTGATCTATGGGCCAGAGATTCTGACAAGGCTCTGCTCATCCAGGCACTGCTGGTGACACAGGCCCAGTGACTTTGTCTCTAGTTCACCAGAAGGAATGGACAGTTCTGAAAACAGGCCCTTGGGAACACACATTTGACATTCTTCAAGGACATACACAGTAAGAGAAGGACCCATCTTCTACACAGATGCCCATGTCTTTACACCCAGGCTGGAGGCACCCAAAGAAACCTGGGCCACTTGGGTAACTTGCCCAAAGCACCAGATGTGGTGGAGGAAAAAATTAGAATTCACACCCTGGTCTTACAGGCCCCTTCTCATAATCCTGGGCTGAGCCTCAGTTACACCCTACATCGACACTGGGTCATTTCACCTCTCCTCTTGCACTTAACTTTTCCCAGCAACTAGAATTCTGTCACCTGGCTGCAAAGGTTCCTCCTGTCTTGGTCCTAATGAATTTCCGAGAGCGGGACAATTTCGCTTCCAACAGACACAAGGCCACCCTCTAACTCTGGATCCCTGTCAGCTCACTCCTTTAGCACCCCAAACTACAAAACAAACCCAAGAAAGTGCACAAAAGGGCATGAAAAGGCCCCATTAGGGCCCTAATAGATCTGGCTTTTTTTCTTGTTTAAAGAAAACTCAGCCGGGCTAGGTGGCTCAGCCTGTAATCCCGCGCCTTTGGGAGGCTAAGATGAGTGGATTGCCTGAGCCCGCGGGTTCGAGACCCACCTGGGCAGCAAGACCTCATCTCTACAATAACTCAAAAAATCAGCTGGGCGTGGTAGCGCATGCCTGTAATTCCGGCTACTCAAAAGGCTGAGGCGGAAGGATCGAAGGAGCCCAGCAGGTCGAGACTGCGGTGGCCGGGAGCGGCCACTGCACTCCAGTCTGGGCGACAGAGTGAGACTCCAACTCAAAAAAAAAAAAAAAAAAAAAACTCCTTTTCCTCTTCCTAAATATTTAAAAAGAGATCATTCTACATAGACTTTATAGCTTTCTTGTTCACTTCAAGGACTTTAATGCATTGTTCCAGTTGTTCCAGAAGCACTAGTCCCTATTCCCACTGTGAAATCCTGAAGAGTTGGTAAATGTGAGGCCTTGAATGAGGTCAGCCAATCTGCCCTCTGGTTTAGAGTAGTTAAAGCATGAAAAATCTCACAAAGTTCCCCTGAAATGTAAGGGGAAAAGGAGACAAAGAAACTCTCTGCATTTTTTTTAAGTGATATCTAAAAATATTATAAGAGAAGTGCACAAGCATTGAAGAAAATAGAGAAAATAAAAAGGTAGAAAATATCACCCATAATCCCAATACTAAGATATAAACATCATTATGTTTTAGCATATTTTACACCAAATATCATTTTCTATACCTATTTCTCATCTTTGAGAGTCGTTCAACTGCTTATTGAAGGCCTATGATGTACCAGGCACTGTGTACTCAGGACCCAGTCACAGCACACCCAGGGAACTCACGAGTGTGAGGAAAGTAACAGGAAATTATGATAAAAGGAGATGTCTACCATGCTGTGGGAGCACATGGCCAGCTGGGCCCAACTTTCTGTGGATGTGCCTTGAGTCTAATTTTCCATGATTATAACTACCCTTATTTTAAATACCAATATTTAACCTTTATTTTAAATACCAATATCTAACCTTTTCTAAAAATGGAAGCTAAGCATTCTCACTGTAAGAAATACAGAGAAATAAAAGAAGAAAATAAAAATCACTCATAATCCCAGGGCGAACTGCCATTTGGATGTTTCATCAGAAGGAAACAGGATCGGGCTCCAAAATCCACACAGGAAGAATCAAAACAGATCCTGTCCTATGAGACACCCTAAGAAATCTGCAGTAGAAAAGAAAACTTTCCCAAATGTCTAACAACTGGTGGATGGACAAAATGTGGTATATCCATGCAATGGAATACTATTCAGCAATAAAAAGGAATGAAGTACTAATACATGCTACAAGGCAGATGAACATTAAAATATTATGCTAAGTGAAATAAGCCAAATACAAAAGATCAATTACTCTATGACTCCATTTCATATAAAATGTCCAGAAAAGGTAAATCCACAGAGACAGGAAGTTATTTAGTGGTCACCTGAGGCTGGACAGCAAACAGGCACAAGGTTTCTTTTTGTAGTGAGCAAAATGTTCTCAAATTAGATTGCAGTGATATTGTATAACTGTAAATTTACTAAAAATCACTGAATTGTACACAAAATTGGTGAATTTTGTGGTATACAAACTGTAACTCAATAATGCTATTTTTTAAAAAGGAAACCCAGTTCAATTTCATGTAACGTTCAAAGAACTAAGAAACAACTCCCCACTCTCACCCCATCTCACCCCCAAACTCCTCTCTTTTTCATATATACTCATTGTTAACTCCACAACTTTCTCTTAACTGAGAATTTCTGCATTTTTAACAGTTAGTAATATTTCTTTCCTGTTTTTTTCTTTTCTTTTTTTTTTTTTTGAGTTGGAGTCAAACACTGTCGCCCAGACTGGAGTGCAGTGGCACGCTCCCACCCACCGCAGCCTCGACCTGCTGGGCTCCAGCGATCCTTCCGCCTCAACCTTCCAAGTAGCTGGAACTACAGGTGCGTGCTACCATGCCCGGCTAATTTTTTGATTTATTGTAGAGATGAGGTCTCACCAAGTTGCCCAGGCAGGTCTCGAACCCACGGGCTCAGGCAATTCACTTACCTCAGCCTCCCAGAGCGCGGGATTACAGGCTGAGCCACCGGCTTCCTGTTTTTTCTTAAGGACAGTTTATATATTTTTTTCACTTGCATCATATTTCATATACTTTTATTCTTGTTGACTTGAGGTTTCTTTTTTCACCTTTTACATAATAAGTACTTTCCCAGGTCATAAAATATTTTTCAAAAGCATAATTGTTAATGACTTTCTATATCCCACCATATAAGATATACCACAATTTATTGGAATCCCAACTATTGGATGTTAAGCTCTGTCCAATTAGGCTTGGGTCAGATGGCTCACACCTGTAATCCCAAAAGTTTAAGAAGCTGAGGTAGGAGGATTGCTTGCAGCCAGGGGCTCAAGACCAGCCTGGACAACATGACAAGACCTTGTCTCTACAATAAATTTTAAAAATTAGCCAGGCTTGATGGTGCATCCCTGGAGTTCCAGCTACTTGGAAGGCTAAAGCAGAAGTATCACCTGAGCCTAGCAGGTTGAGGCTGTGCTAGCCATGAACCTGCCACTGCCTAGGCGACAGAGTAAGAGTCCAATGCCCCCACCCCCAAAAAAACCTATATATATACATAATAGCCAAGCACAGTAGCATGTGCCTGTAGTCCCAGCTACCCAGAAGGCTGAGACGGAAGAATCTCTTGAGCCTTAGCAGTTCAAAACCAGCCGGGGCAACACAGCAAGACCCCGTCTCTTAAACAAATAAATGAATAAGTGAATGAATAAATAAATAAATACAATGCATTAATTTTCATCCAGTACAACTTCATGTCTCCCTCCCCTTCTATGGCATCCATTGCCATACTATCCTCCTAATTTCGACAAGCTTCCAAAAATCTCAAGTATTTCAATCCTTTCTGTGTGTTGCCACTATTTCCCAGGTCCTCTCCATCACCCTGCTCACACCTTCCACCCTCTGTGAATCCCAGCCCATGTATTCCTGCCACCACCAACCAAACTACCTCCTTCCCAGCCACAAGAACTACCAACTTCCAGCTCCCTTAAAGAACTGAGTCTCAGAGGGTAACTGAAAAATTGCTCCCCGACCCCAGCCAGTTAAAGCACCCAACATTTCCATGGATGTGTCCAACCTGATCCTCCTTTGACCTTCAACCTCACACCAATCACAGTCCCACTTCAGAGTCAGCATCTCTCAGTCACTTCAATGATTGAACCCACATCTGTGGACCCTCATGGATTCTATCCAATCCCGAAGCAGTTCAGCTCTGGAGAGGAACGGATGGTGGTCAGCAGACCTTCCCTCACTTCTGGGTTGCCCAGCTCAAAACAAAACCAACTCTCCTCACACAGGACAAACATATTTCAAATCCTTTCACAATCATACCTCAAGCTTTAACAGTCCAAATCTACCTGAAGGATGTGAATACAACGTAGCTCCTACCTGTATAGACTGTGGGGAAGGACATATAAGAAAATGGTAACAGAGGCGGCCTCTGGGGAGGAGGTCTGAGGCCAGGGATGGCAACAGTTATCCTTATCCCTGGAGATGCTCATGTATCTTTGTTTTTTACCCTACGTATATATTCCATCTCTCTCCTCTTCAAAAATTACCCTTCACTGGAGAATATGCATAAAAGAGGAACTTACCACTGATTTTTTCTCTTTTTCCTGTCCTCTATCTTTATCTAAAAAAGAAAGGAAATCCATTTTTATCTGTTTTAAATAACTCACTCTTCTCTGCCCTAATTTTTTAAATGACCACAAAACAATATATTTTACGCTTGCTCCCTAGCCTAAAAATGTTTCCCATTTTGGGGTCCCTCCGTGAGTGGAGGCACGGTCAGCACAGTGCCACACTGGGCTGCGGCTGCCTGGGTCCCCGAGGCCCATCTGGACCGCAAGTGTGCTCAAGTATTTTCACTTAGCACATTATACTTTTCAATCGCCACATATTTTATATTTACACCTTCACAGATTGAGTGTCCACCAAGTGAAAACGCGGTGCGGCCTTCGCTCAGCGCAGCCGGGAAGAGTGAGCGGCGTGCATGGGCTTGAGTCTGCGACCAGGTTCTCCTCTAGGCCCAGGGCTGGCATCGCTGCCCGCCCAGCCCACGGGTGATTCTGGGGCGCCCCTCGACAGCTGAGGCCTGCAGAACCCGATTGAGACAGTGACCTGTTTGTGTGACGGCGTCCCAGAGCCAAAACCCCCGCCACCGCTGGCACCAGCGTCCGCTGAGGTCTGGTTAAATGCAGATCCCAGCGCCCATCTTCCCCAAGGCCGAAAGAATCGGACCAGGAAATGCGTCGGGAGACCCGAGCCTGGGCCAGAATGTTCTGAGCAGCCCCAGCCCCACCGGGTGGAGGGTCCTCCGTGCTCTTTGGAGTCCCTCTACCAAGCCCAAGCCCAGGACGAGAGCCGGGCGCGGGGCCCCACGGCCCCACCCGCTCGCTGCCGCCTCGAGCCTGGGTACCAGCCGATGACCGCCCCCGCCCCCTGCCGCACCCCGCGGAGGAAATCCTGCGTCCGGCGCGGGGATTAGGTGCGGGTAGTTTCGCGCTCGGGCAGGTCCAAGGAGCGGGGAGTCAAGGGTCTGCATCGGGACGCCAGCGAGGTGAGACAAAGACGCGAGTTACCCGGAGACCAGGCTCCGCGATGCGCACCCCGCGGCCGGGGCCCAGAGGCGGGGCTCCTGGGGCTCCCCGGCCTAACGAGGCGCAGCGCCCCGGCGGCCCAGCCTCGCAGCGGCCGCAGCAGCATGGCCGGACGGGCGGATCCGGAGGCCCGGGTTTTCTTCCTGTGCGAGCCGGCACGTCCGAGCGCCCCCTGGGTCCCGGGGCCCCGCCCCGACGGGGCGCCTGCTGGTGCAGGGTCCTTAAAGAGACCCGGTCGCTTTTCATCCTCTCAGCCAGAAGGGAAGATCCGAGGTGCGAGAATCGCCGCTTGCAGCTGGTACTCTAGCAGAAGGCACCCGTGACTTGCCAGGACTAGGAGAATGGCTGGCAAATAGCCCCAACGACTGATTGGTGCTGATTGCTTCATTATTGCAGATTACTTAACTGAGCACCTACTCTATTCAGGCACCTGGCACACACTCACTCATGATGTCACTTATTCCCCTCACAACCCTGTAAATAGATATTGTCACTCCAATTCTCTGAGCTTGTCCTCAGAGAATTAGGTAACTTGTTCAAAATGATCAGAAGTATTCGTTAAGGTGTGGAACTCGAATTCACGCCAGTCTGTCTCACTTCTCAGCCCAAGCTCTTTCCTCTGAACGCTGACATTTCCAGTGTCTGGATTCTAAATGTACTAGATCCCTCAGTAAGGCACAACCAATATACCAACTGGACAGACAAATGGGGGAATGAGGGAGATGCCTGTAAATTCCATCTATAATCAGGTAGCCCACACCTGGGGTCAGTGGAGTATTAGAGCTCAACAGTCCCGGGCCCAGTAACCAGAGCTGTTGCCACCCTTGACTGTATGTGAGAGTTCCTGTGCTTCGGTGGATAGACTTTCCCACCTCTCCCAGGAGTGCACGATGCTGGCAGTCACCTCATAGGCAAGGAGAAGGAAGTCATTTGCGAGCATTTAGCCTCTAATCTGTGACCACAAAGCTACCACCCTGTCTTGTGCTTCCTTCATATCTACCACACACCTAGCAAGGGCAAGCATGCCTTCCACAGATAAACCTCAGAATTAAGGTTAACATTTTTGTGAGTGACTTGGAATAAGGCTGCTAGAGGTAACTGCTGATCAGATTTAACGGAACGAAGTAGACTGAAGCTGAGATGCAGGATCCAAAAAGATGTGAATGGGTTGGGGTGATGGCCAAATTATCCAAGACAGAACTTAAATTACAAAAAGAGCAACATAATACTACAATCCCTGAAAAGAAACGCTCCAAGATGATGGAGATTTGGTTTCATGGGAGCACTTGTGGAAAACAGTTGATTTCGAACATCTGAAGGGACTCAAGCTCTTCCACAGAACTGGCACCAATGGGAGGCAAAAGTAAAAAGCTGAATAGACACACACCCTGACTGTGATGCCCCGGGGACAGAGCTAGGGTCTGAGCCCAGGCCATTAGTTCAGGCTACACACATTCTACACCTACTGTGTGCTTGACCCTGGGACCCTGCAAGGAGAGCAACAGACAGAAGGGTCTCTGCTTTTGCGGAATTTATATTCTATTTAAGCTAGAGATACATGCTGAGGAGTGATGTCAGCTACTCTAGACGAGGTGACTATGGAAAACCCCTCTAAGGTGGTGGTATTTGAGATGCCCAAGGTCTGGGGAGTCAGGGTCGCCGTTCCTCGCCTCTGCCCCCAACCCTGGGAGCGCTTCCCCACAGGAGGGCTCCGCAGGACAGCTGGAGAGCTGTGGTCATTAGTGCCAGGCAGGGCGGGGCGGGCTAACACGGGTCGGGCCTGTGCGGCCCCACTTCGGTCCGCAGACAGGCTGCGAAGCAGCAGACCGAGGACAGCACCAAGCCACAGGAGCCGACGGGCGGGTCCCGTGAGGGCGCATGCGCAAGGGGGCGTGGCCGCGGCGCCGTGCGCCTGCGCGCACGGAAGCGGGAAGCCTGAAGGGAAGCGCCCGCCCGAAGCGTCAGTTGCCGTCGCCTCGCGAGGCGTGGTGCCGCTGTGGGCTGAGGAGAAGAGTTTAGGGGAAGCGCGGCTGTTGGGTCTGAGGGCGCGATGGAGACCGTGCAGCTGAAAGTACACCATCGCCCCTTCTGCTTCAGTGTGAAAGGCCACGTGAAGTTGCTGCGGCTGGTGAGGCCGGGTCCCGCGGGGCGGGGGGCCGGGTGCAAACGCGCTCAAGAGCAGTTACATGCGGCTATCAGGTGTCGGGGGTACGCCCCGTTTGCTCTTTCAGCTTCGCTTTTATCAAGGCTTCCTGAGGGCTCTGTCCCCGGGGGTGGGGGGAAGAGATAAAATACCGTCCTCCCTTTCAGAGGGTTTAGGAACACCTGGATCAAAATCAGCAGATCTGCGTGGTCTGACAAGTTCGAGAACTCATCCTAGAAAAAGTGCTACATACCTCATTGCTGAATATCACTAAGGTCACCTTCCCCTTGGGAAGATATGCACCGATGCCAGCATCTAATCACCCGTCAAAGTAATTTTGGAACTCTTTTTCTGGCATAACCATCTGAGCTGCCTTGGGGAGAATGTGGGTGCTTGAGTTAGAGCATCGAACAAACATTAAATTTCTTTTTAAACTTGGTAAGAGTGGAAGTGAAATCAGTAACATGCTAGTCCAAGTTTATGGGGATAATATCATGAAGAAAACGGCAGTGTACAAATGGAGTAAACATTTTTCTGAGGAGAGAATGCATCACTGATGAGAGGTCAGCACAGTCAGTAGCAAGCAGAACTGGAGAAAACATTGCAAAAATTCATCGAATTGTGCATCGAAATCATTGGTTGACTCTGAGTGGCATAGCAGACCAAATAAACATCGATAGGGAAACAGGAACATCTCAACTAAAAATCTTGACACGAGACAGGGGTGTGCAAAAATGGTCCTAAAGGAGCTCTGGCATCACAACTGCACCAGCTTACACAGCACTGTCTGTGAGGGAGTATTTAGTCAGTAAACAAATAACAGTATTGGAACACCCTCCCAGCTCACCTGATCTGACCCCCAATGTTTTGTTTTGTTTTTTCTTTACCTGAATATAAAGGAAATATTGAAAGGAAGACATTTGATGACATTCAGGATATCAAGGGTAATATGTTGACAGCTCTGAAGGCCGACCCAGAAAAAGAGTTCCAAAATTGCTTTGAGGGGTGGACTAGGTGCTGGCATTGGTGCGTAGCTTCCCAAGGGGAATGAATGCTTCGAAGGGGACCATGGTGATATTTAGTAATGAGGTATATAACACTTTGTCCAGGATGAGTTTGCGAACTTGGTTGTCAGAACTCATTACAAACCGGGTCCCTGGGTTACCTGGCGAGGCAGCTGCAGCTGTGCCTCTCAGAAGCCCACAAGATTTTTTTTTTTAAAGTCTGAGGGCTTCTGGTGGATGCCATGTTTACTTACTACAAGTTAGACAGTTGATTTGACCAAGGTCAAGGCTGATATAGCCCAGAGTGAGGACAGGGAGAAAACTTCCATTTTCAGGGCTTCAGGCTTACCAGAAGCATTGTAGGCAGGTCTGAGCAGAGGTTTGGAGAAAGTGAATCATTATGTGAAGGAAAGTGACCTAGCTGGTTAGAGAAGTGGAAACTATCAAAATTGCAGAAATTCAAGAAGATAAAACTTAAGGAAAGAATTAATTGTTTTAAATTTTACAGCTGCCATGTGGGAAAGGGAGTGGAAATAGTTACAAGTTAAACATTTGCACTTAATATGAATAATTTATATCCCCAGTTGTTTTTGTTTACAAGACAGGGATTCACTCTGTTGATCTGGCTGGAGTGCAGTGTTGCTTGCTGCAGCCTCAAACTCCTGGGCTCAAGCAGTCCCCCTGCCTCAGCTCCCTGAGTAACTGGGACTACAGGGGTGCCACTATGCCTGGCTTTTTTTTTTTTAATGGAGACAAGGTCTCGCTATGTTGCCCAGGCTGGTCCTAAACTCCTGAGCTCAAGTGATCATCCCACCTCAGCCTCCCAAGTCACTGGGCTTATGGGCACACACCACCATGCCCAGATAGGTCCTAGAATTAAATGGCCACTTGGGAAGGCATTCCCAGACAGCAAGGTATAGATAAGCAGTTGGTGAGAATGCTGTTAAGAAGACTCAAACCTGAGGGGAATGGGTAGAACAAATTGCCTAAGATCCTTCCCACACCAAAAATCTATGATTATGAGACTATATTAACAACTTAGAACGCATAAAAGAGGTTTAGAAAACCACTCGAGTTGAAAGAGAGATTGCTTTTGGTTAAGAGTAAATAATCGGAAAAGGTGACCTAAAGGTCTACAGTTTTATGCCAGGTACTGAAAGCTCTGGAACACTAGAGGAGGAACGGGGTTTTGTGAGATTTCGTTTTTGACATAATAATTCCTTCAACAAACCATGTGAGTATTTAATGTGTTACAGGCTCTGGGCTGGTACCTGGAACCACAAAGACAAACCAGGTCAAAAGTCCCTGACTCATAGAGTTCTTCAGTTTAGCCAGAGAGACAGACACATGAGCAGATAGATATAATATGTGATACGGTGGAGAAAGGCCCAGAAGTGAGACATCTGACCAAGGAAATAAAGAGAGGCATGAGAAAACTCTTCCTAGAGGAACCTAGGGTTGAATTTAAAGGGAAGCCACATGAAAAAAGGCATAGAGGCCAAAAACACAAAACAGAAAAAGCACAATGTATGTAGTGACGTATAAGAAGTTAAGTGTTGCCTCATTTATTCATTCAACAGATATTTGTTGGATTCCTATCATGTGCCAGGCACTGTTCCAGACTCTTGAGAGATACCAGTAAACAAAACAAAAATTCCTGTTCTCGTGGAGTTTTATTATGGTGGGAGGGCAGAGGTGACAAACACAATAAATGAAAACATTATATAGTATTCTAGAAGATGGCACTTGCTATGGAACAAGACAAAAGTAAAGCCCAGTAAAGGAGTGTAAGTGGGGAGAGAGTTAGATGGGCCTTGGTGAGATGACATCTAATCATAGAGTCGAGTGAGATGAAGTAATCAGCTATGAGAATACCTGGAGGGAGAATATTTAAAGCAGAGAGGCCGGGCTCGGTGGCTCAGCCTGTAATCCCAGCACTTTGGGAGGCCAAGGTGAGTGGATTGCCTGAGCCCGCCAGTTCAAGACCACCCCAGGCAACTTGGTGAGACCTTGTCTCTACAATAAAATTAAAAATAGCCAGGTGTGGTAGTGCATGTCTGTAGTTCCAGGCTACTCGGAAGGCTGAGGCGGAAGGATGGCTGGAGCCCAGAACGTCGACGCTGGGGTGGCCGTGAGAATGCATGCCACTACACTCCAGTCTGGGCAAAGGAGTGAGACTCCAACTCAAAAAAAATGAAAATAAAGTACAGAAAATCTAATGTAGTGGCCTTATGTCAGGAATGTGCCTGAAAGGATCAGGAAAAACAAGGAAATCAGTGTAGCTGTAGTGGACTGAGTGTGGGGAACACAGTGGAGATTAAGAAGGTTTTGAGTAAAGGAGTATATGATCTAACTTTAAAAAGGGGGAGGGGCAAGCTTTGTGGCTCATGCCTGTAATTCTAGCACTTTGGGAGGCTGAGGTGGGAGGATTGCTTAAGGCCAGGAGTGCAAGACCAGCCTGGGCAGCATAGCAAGACCTTGTCTCTAAAAAAAATAAATAGCCAGGTATATGCTTTTAGTCCCAGCTTCTCAGGAGGCTGAGGCAGAAGGATTGCCTGAGCCCAGGATGTCAATGCTGCAGTGAGCTGTGAACATGCCACCCCTCCAGCCTGGGCAACAGAGTGAGGCTCCAACTCAAAAAAACAAAAAAAGTACACTAGAAGCTATGTTGACAGTAGACTGGTAGGGAGGGACAGGAATGGATCGCTGCAGGGGCAATGGTAGAGCCAGGGAGACCAACTGCATCTCTGGGCAAGAGATGATAGTGACTGTTAGCCACCTGGTGAATAGAAGTAGCAGAGTAGGTAAGAAGAAATCACATTTGGGAAATAGTATTTTGAAGAAGCACCAACAAGATTTGCTGATGAACCAGACATGGAGTAAAGAAAGGAGTCCAGTATAACTCCAAAGTTTTGGTCTCAGCAACTGGAAGGATGGACTTGTCATCTACTGAGATGGGAGAGCCTATGGGTGAAGCAAATGTGAGAGGAAGATCAGAATTCAATGTTGGATTTCAGTATTAAAGTTACCTATTAGACATCCAAATGGCAGTATTGAATAGAGATTTGTAATAGACAAGACCAGATTTTGGTAGAAAGGTTAGGCATCAGAAATAGAGTTATTTAAAGCCACAAGACTCATGAGGTCATCAAAAGAGGAATGCAGTTAGAGCAGAGAAGAGGATTATGAATTGAGCCCTGGAACACTTCAATATTAAGAGGTTGAGGAGAAGAGGAGGAGCCAACAAAGAAAAATGAAAGGGAGCATTTGGGAAGGTGGGAAAAACTGAAAATATGCTGTCCTGGAAGGCAAGTGAAGAAACTCTCAAGTAAGTGGCCAACTGTGTCAAATACTAATGATACTTTGGGTAAGAATTATCCTGTGGATAAATTGTAAAGCAAGGCTGTTCTAGAGAAGTAGACAGGAACTGAATCATGGAAGACCTGAATACCTGGTGAGAGGTAGGCTCTATTCTAAAGACCATGGAGAGCCATTGAAGAATTTTATTTATTTGTTTGTTTGTTTATAAGTCTTTTTTTTTGAGTCGGGGTCTCACTTGGTTACCCAGCTGCTCATGACCACCACAGCCTTGACTTGCTGCTCTCAACCTTACCACGTAGCTGGAACCACAGTGCACACCACCATGCCCAGCTAATTTTTTTATTTATTTATGGTAGAAACGAGGTCTCGCCATGTAGCCCAGGATGGTCTTGAACCCATGGGCTCAAGCAGTCTTCTCGCCTCCACCTCCCAAAGTGTTGGTATTACAGGTATAAACCACCAAGAATTGTAAATAGATGAAGAAATGCATAAACAAATTTGCATTTTAGGTATTTTACTGTGGTATTTTTGTCATGTAATTCACAGGAAAGATGCGGAAGGGCAGTAGTTATAAGGATGAAGAGGAAGGAGTGCTCAAAATGTTTAGGTATTAGGCATCGGTCATTAGGACTTGATGATTGATCATCATTGGGAATGGGAGGAACAGTGATCTTAAGCTCCTAGCATGGGTGATAAGGTAGATTGTGGTACTACCAATTAAGGTTGTGAATATGGGAGGATGGGGCAAGTTGATTTCAGTTGTAGACATGGTAAATTTGAGATACCTACAGGTTATCAAGATAAAAATTCTAAATTGTTATTTATGTGTAAAATGTGGAAGACAGACCTGTGATAGAAACCTAGATTCATTGAGTAGAATATGAACAGATTCCAAAGGAATGCCAGTATTTTAAAGAAGTAAGTGGCCGGGCTTGGTGGCTCAGCCTGTAATCCCAGCATTTTGGGAGGCCAAGGTGAGTGAATTGCCTGAGCCTGTGGGTTCAAGACCAGCCCAGGCAACTTAGCAAGACCTCATCTCTACAATAAATAAAAAATTAGCCAGGCATGGTAGTGCGCACCTGTAATTCCAACTACTTGGAAGGCTGAGTCAGAAGGATCACCGGAGCCCAGCAGGTCGGTGCTGGAGTGACCATGAGCGTGCCACTGCACTCCAGCTTGGGCGATGGAGTGAGACTCCAACTCAAAAAAAAAAAAAAAGATAAATAAAGAGGTAGGCAAAAGGAGAGGAACCCACCAAGAGAGAACAGTTGGAGAGGTTTAAGAACCAGGAAAGGTGACATGGGAGCCAAAAGAGTATGCAGGGAGATATAAATAAAAAATTTGTTTATTTAAAAATTGTGTATTTATTCTTACATGTTTAAACTTCAGTCACCTTCAGAGTACGCTGTTTGATGCAGTACACCTATTGAGACCTTTTTTCTACTACTCAAAACAGTTTTTGAACTCAATTTTGATGTTCCTGTCATTTTAGTGTTCTGTCATTTTTTGTTTCACCTCTTTCACATCAGCAAAATGTTTCCTTTTGAGAACTTGTTTAAATCTAGGAAACAAACAAAAAAGTTGCTCAGAGTGAGATTGGGTGAATAGGGAGGGTAGGGCATGGAGGTCATGCGGTTTTTTATTAAAAATTGCTGAACACTCAGAGTGGTATGGGCAAGTGCGCTCCATAAATCATCCATCATGAAGTGGACAAATGCATTGAAAGAATCTCCTAAAAAAATTAACTGAAGCCGAACACAGCTTCTCATGGGATCCTAGAGCACTTATCTAGCAGGGAAAGCCTGTACTACAAGGGACCTGCGCTCCAAAAAGTTCCAGCTTTGGGGGGGTTCCTCCTTATAGAGTAATAGGGGAAAGGATAGCCAATGGCAAATAAGTCATAGGGATCCACCAGAATAAGGATTGATAAACATTCATTAAATTTAGTACTTCTAAAATCATTGATGTTGTTAGCAAAAGCAATTTCCATAGTGGTAAAGAAATGTTTGAGATATTAGTGAGATATTTAAAAAATAACTTTAGGAAAAGTGTAAGAGCTATAAATATGGATCAGAGAGAACCCAGTGTCACAGAAATCACAGAAAATTTTAAGAAAATGAAGTAATTACCAATGCCAAATACAGTGGTGCAAAAAATTTACAAAGGAGGGGGATTTTCTACCAAAATCCGGTCTTGTCTATTCCAAATTCTATTCTAACCTTGATCTCATAAGCCATGTACTGAAGACCTTGGTCCAGTAGAGTAAATGGAGCAGTTTGAGACTGACATGCTGCTAATGTAATTTTAAAGAATGAAGTTATTTAGTAACTAGTTATTGGTAGTCCAACTGACCAATTCAGTAGTTTAAACGTAGGGTATTTTTATACTAATAAAGTAATTAAAAGAATAATTAATAAGTAGCCTTATAGATTTAAAACTAAAATGAGTATGTAGATGTAGAGTATATAGAAGTGTGTAGTATGTAGATGTAGAGTATGTAGCTGATAGGCTATTATAGAAGTCTAGCCAGGGAAAACTCTTGACCAAACCATTTACCAAAAAACACAAACTTTGGAGAGTGCTTTATTTCCTAAGAACATTATGGCATTGACAGAACTCCCTGGGACTCACCTGCTCATTTTTTTCTCTTTAACAACTCACTTGACATTTCTGTGTTCTATTGCTTCATTTGTAAATGAAGAAATTTGATTAGGTTAATAATCTTAAGAGGTTTTTTTTTTTTAACTTAAAATATTTTGAATTTTGACTGCAGGGTATTTAGGTAAGAGGTAGTATATAAAAAGTGATACTTTAGTAATAAAACTATAAAACATCAGAATTGTTTTTCTCTGACAATTTGTTTTAAACTTTCCTCCTCAGTATTTTTTATAGCAACATTCTAAGTTTAAATTTGACAGTAGATTCCAGATTGCTAAATGTTAAGGATATGATGTGTTAAGGTTGTTATGACTAGATGGTTAGAAATTATAGACAGTATACAGACTTTTTTGAAGAAGTAGAAAACAGATTTAGGGATTTCTGTGAGGAGAAGGATGAAAGGGATATGTGTGTTTTAAGAGAAAACAACTTAGATATGTTTATACGATGATAAGGAAAAGAGCTAACTGAGAAGAACAGATTGAATGTACAAGAGAAAAGAGATATTTGGTGGGGAAAGATCAAGAGAACTGATGTGGCAAGGGATGGTATCAGAAGTACAAGTGGACTAATTATACCTAAAACAGGGAGGAATACCTAGTTCTTTAAAACACAAAGAGAAATCAGTATCTAAATTTTAGCCTTCTTTTGCATAACCCATTTATTTAATTATTTTAGAAATCTTTGGTTTTACAGCTTAAATTTGTATTCAGTAGTCATTGAATTAATCATGTTTTGTTTTTTTTTCTTCTAGGCACTAACTGTGACATCTATGACCTTTTTTATCATTGCACAAGCCCCTGAACCATATATTGTTATCACTGGATTTGAAGTCACTGTTATTTTCTTTTTCATAATGTTATATATACTCAGACTTGATCGATTAATGAAATGTCTATTTTGGCCTTTGCTTGTAAGTGTTCAGTTGTATCCTTAAAATTTACTTTTTCTTGAAACTTAACTACTTGAGACATTTTAATAATTTCTTTACTTTGGTTTTCTTAGACCTTTAAGGTAATCTCAGATAAGCTTAGGAAGGAGGAACTCTACCCACTGCTAATGTGTTCTGTTGTCCTTGGGGGAGGTTCTCAGGGATCTAGGCAGCCATGGAGCATAAAGTCTCTGTGCTTCATCTGTAGGTAGATGTGGCTAACCCTTCTGTTAGAATTCACTTTAGTGTAGCTCTTCTAAAGAAATTTAAATTTAGAACCATGTTAATAAAATTACAGTGTATTTTTAATCTTTATGTCCCTTTTTAATGTGTGGCCACAAAATTGGAGAATAGCAATGGAGGCAGGTACACAAGTATCTATCCTTGCACAGCCCTGATTTAAATGTTATTTTCCTGATAAATGGAAAATCAAACTAATTGGAGAGGCTAAATAAAGCACAATGTTGTCTCACTTGAAAATGTCTATAATCGTTACTAAATAATGTTAACTCCTCTTATATTTTGTAGCATATAGACTGCATCCTGCCATACCTGTAGCTTTAGGAATAACTGCCCAGTGTAGTGCCCAAATGATTCTGAAAACTGTCAAAATGAGCTGTTTGAAAATATTAGTTAAGGTGTATGTGGCCCTTCAGCTGGAATTAGAAGCTGGTTCTAGGAAAAACTGAGTGACTTCATCTCTTTCCTATTTCAAGTCTCATTCCCGGTATCTTCAGAATCCTGTCTTCCTCCCTCCTAAGTCCTCCTGCTACCCTTCCCCTCTTTGACTGGACTGAGCTGCCACATCCTCCTCTTCTGCACTCATCTCATCCTCTTGGATTCCAAAGTGCTGATATCCAAACTGATAGTTCCTATTAAGGAGAGAAGACTTTGGAGCTATTCTCAAACCATAAGCATGCCTTAAATTGATACCTTCCAGCTAGTGGTGAGCATTTCACAAGCTTTAAAAGTCCCAAAAGGGAAAAGCCAGGAAATAGATAAGATCTTCATAGCACCTCTCAAAACTGCTTGATCTACACTTCAGAACTGAACCTGATTGGAAGGAGGTGTAGGAAAAGAGATTACAAAGCCCTCCTCAATCGGCCCTCACTTAGTGGAAGAAAGGGCTAAACTAAATTATCCTGAGGATTTCTTCAAGCAGATAATGAACAGTGGTTCACATTCTCTAGATCTTATACTCAAAAAGTTGTATAGTTGCTCTTCACACTTTGCTTCTTCAGGGTTTAATAAAACACATTTTAGCCTTTTTCTCCAAACTCATGATTCTCTGGAGCTTCTTACATAACCCAGTAATAAAAGTATTATTTAAACTATATGTAGCATACTGAAAGGAGTAATCTCCAAATCTCTGAGGATCAAACTTTGCTGATATTGTGATATTTTAGAAATGGGGTGATATATGGGTAACTAAGTTTTTGCTCCATTATAAAACCCAGATTCCTTTCTGAGCTTGAGCTAATGAAATTATTTATTCAACAGATATTATGTATCTGTTAATCCCAGATACTGTAATTAGTTATTTGGTAAAATAAAATAAAAATCTTGCACCTGGGAAACTTTGAATGTAGCCAGGAAGCAAGATAGACAAAAATCGGTCCGATAGATATACATCCAGGATGGTGTGGGCACACCCAGCCAGAGTAGGGGACCAAATCCCAATAGGCTTGTGAAGAAAAACTGCCTGAACCAAAGGCTGAAGTATGAAAAGTGGTTAACTGCAGACTGATACAGGGGAAAGAAAGTGCTTTCCCAGCAGAAGCAGCAGCTTATGTTAGGGTTTAGGTGGAGCAAGAGCATTACCCTCCAGGACCTGCAGCTATCTCTCAATGCCCGAGTATTGAATTGTAAACAAGAGATGGGGCAGGAGTGAAGGCCTGAGACAATAAGGGGTCAGAGCCTGCAAGGGTTTGTGTGCTCTGGGCTTTAATCCAAAAGCTGTTGGGAGCTTTTGGAGTATTTTTTGTGTGTGTGGGTTTGTTGTTTTTTTCTTAAAGTCATAGTCTTACTCTTGCCCAGACTGGAGTGCAGTAGTACGCTCACAGCCACTGCAGTCTCGACCTGCTAGGCTCAGGTGATCCTTCCACCTCAGTCTTCCAAAGAGCTGGAACTATAGGTACACACCACCATGCCCAGCTAATTTTTTGATTTATTGTAGAGACTGGTCTCAAAGCCCTGGGCTCAGGCAATCCTCTGACCTCTGTTTTTTGGAAGTGTTTAAGTAGGAGAATGACATAATCAACTTACATATCTTAAGAGGATACTAAGATAGGAAGTACATGTTCAGGGATGAGTGGGGGAGAACAGTATGTAATGAGTTCTATTTAAGAAATACTAGATTTTAGTTGCTTATGGGACATGCAGATGGAAATGTTCAAAACCAGTCTGAAGCTTACAAGAGCTACAGCTGTACCTTTGGGAGTCATCACCTTATGATGGTATCTGAGCTTAGGCTGACCAAAATGGCTCAGGAGGAGTATGGAGAAAGTTGAAAGTAAAACAGAAATGCCAACATATGGGATGAGAAGGAGTGGCCAGAGAAAGGCAGGAGAGGACCTGCTGGAGAGTGGTGTCACAGAAGCCAAGACAGGAGAGCATTTCAAGAAGAAAGAAGTGGTAAATGTCATATGTAAACAGATAAGTATTAAAATACATCTAATCATAAGCTGTATTAACAGACCCCTGGTGGCCTTTTCCAGAGTGGTTTGCCTTAAGTGGGCAGGTGGCAAGATTGTTGAGGGACTGAGGAGGAAAGAGAGAACTCCATAGGTCACCACTGAGGTGACGAGATACAGGCAGAGACAAAGAAAGGTAATAGAGTGAGGTCCCTGCAGAGTGAAATGGGAGTCACAGCACAGGTAGAGAAGTTGTAGGGCTCTTTAAAGTAAAGGACGCAGATTAATCTGTAAGTGGGGAAAAGGTAACTTGGAAGTACTTCTGTCTGATGACCACTATCTTTGCTTAGGAGAGGGCTTTGTCACTTGTACTCAAATTGTCCCAAAGTTTCATTCAGTCTCATACAATTTGTAAAGCAGGTCTTCTCTCTTCCCCTCAGATGCCCCAATGACAGAAAACACAAAGTGAGCCAACCCAGGACTTTAAGGTGGTTTCTAAGTATAGGCTCAAAATTTCTTTGAAATCTTCATTTTTTTTTATAATTAAGTTTACATTCTACTCCATGGCATATTGACATTTTGTTTTTAATATAAAAGCAGTGTTCTGAATCACCATCAAGGATCATTGGTGTTCAGGCAGGCATATCATTTTGTGTGTGTGTTGGAGGTGGAAGTCCTCTGTACTCCCTAGAACACCGCTTTTATTCAAACCCATCTATAAACATTTGCCCAAAACAGCTCATAGGAGGCAGGCTGCCTGACTGACTGAGGTGGAGATGTGATCTGTTGCCTTGAAACAGACCAAAATATCCAACATCGGTGAGAATTAACCTACGATAGCAAGTCTCAATATCTACAAATAAGAACTTTTTTCATCTTAAGTATATCTAATCTTGCCCTGCTCCAACTGAACCTCATCCTGCTTTCTTTTTAATAACTACTTTTCTAAATTACCAGGGTTTTGAAGTTTGGTATTTCTGTGATAAAAGTCCTTCCTGCCTAAGTTATCTTACATACATAAACGAGAATAAAGACAATTTACTTTTCCCACACTACACATCCATTCAAAAATGTAAATTACACTTAAAGCCATAGTTTGGAATGAAAATAATTTTCATTTTGGAAAACTGTTAAATGACTAAGCTACATTATCATCAATAATAAGATAATTGGTCAGCTATTTCATATAGATATATGTGGGGGTTTTCCTGAAAATTATCACTTTCTCTTAGATGTGCACTACTTTAAGTTTATTAATTGCATTTTAGTAGCATGAAGTTCGATATGCAGTGTAGACTATTCTGCATTTTCTTGTATTTAGTATAAAAATGAGCATTTTTACTTCTCAGATTATCCATTCTAACTTAAATCTTCTATATATCATTCATTTTCTCTCCTAACCAGATGAGTTTTCCCCTCAGCTACATTAATATTCACTAAAAAAGATATAAAATTAAGTAGATAACTATATTATACATAAAAGAGAACCACTAAATGTAATTATAAGCCAAATATATTGGTGTCATTTTACTTTGGTATTTTGGTTTTCTGAAAGATACATGCTAATAAATTTGTTTCATAAAGTGAAGCCTTCAGAATATTTAAGGGGCTGACCCTTCTCTGTCTTTTTTTTTTTTTTTTTTTTTAGCATGACTTGATCTTCATGTAAAGCTAACTTTTCTGTGTTTTTTAGGATATTATCAACTCATTGGTAACAACGGTATTTATGGTCATTGTATCTGTGTTAGCACTGATACCAGAAACCACAACATTAACAGTCCTTGGAGGGGTAAGTGGAGGTCTTTCTGGCTTCTTTCTTTGGGTTTGATCAGAATACAGATTTATTTGGAAAACAGATGTAAGAACAGAAAACCATACTATATTTATCTTTGGGGTTCTTAGGCCAATATACAGTGCCTAGTGGCTTATTATTTTGTGTGTGTGAATGCTTGCTCTGATTAACGTGAAGGAATATGATTTTATACTAGAACTAGAGTTAACCAAATAAAAGAGGTTCCTACATATTTCTTATAGGTATGTAGAACTAAACTGACAAGAGCTACTAGAATAAGTTACATCACTTAGCTCTGAAAAACTTGATGCCAAGCAAAAATAAGAAAAAAAAAATGATGAGTTTTATAGTTCTCCTTTATAAAGAAAAGGACATATTACATGTTAAGATGAAACAGACTGTTTTGAGCCCAATTTCTTGTTCAGATCCTTCTTCAGGTGGAATATAATAGAAGATGTCCTTATGATAGCTGAATGTTGATAGAAAGCCTTGAAATAAAGGATTATTTTGAATACTTCTTAAAGAGAAGCAAATCAATTCCATCAGACGTTTTCCTGGGAGGCAAGCCAAAATATGAGTCAAGTAATTTAGTTATAGTTAAATCTGATATTCTTGAGATTTCTTACAGGAGGTTCAAAATCATTTGGGTTTTTTTGTTTGTTTCTGATCTAGAGAATTGAATTAGAAAATTCTAATTTTAATAAATCTTCTTACTTCCTTATTCTTTAATAGTATGGCCACTTAAGGGAACTGACCAGTCTCAGATAGCCATGTCTGTCAGAATCCATGGTTTTTATTTCCCTTAAGCCCTAAGCAATTGTATGAGGAATCAGAATTATTCTAGAAATGCTTTAGCTCTGTGTCATCAATTTCCCCTAGTTTTCTTTTCTTTCTTTCTTTCTTTCTTTTTTTTTTTTTTTGAGTCAGAGTCTTACTCTATTTCCTAGGCTGGAGTACAGTGGCACTCTCCTGGCTTGCCATAGTCTCAAACTCCTGGGCTCAAGCTATCCTCCTGCCTCAGCCTCCAGAGTGGCTGGGACAACAATTACTTGCCACCACGCCTAACTTCTTTTTTTTTTGTAGAGACGAGGTCTTGCTATGTTACCTAGGCAGGTCTTGAACTTCTAACTCTGCCTCCCAAAGTGCTTGGATTACAGTCATGAGCCACCATGCCCAGCCCTCCTAGTTATAAATAATCTTATCCCTCTACTATGAAGAGGGATCAGACATAGGATTTACTTTCATCCACTTTATTTACTCATTCATTTATTCATTTCTAAAGTACGCTTTGGCAAGTGCTGACAAAGTATAGAGCTGTGCTGTTCAGTACAGTAACTGGTAGCCACTGGCCACATGTGGCTATTGAGTACTGAAAATGTGGCTAGTATGAATTGAGATGAGCTGTAGGTATAAAATAAAATACCCATTGAATTTCAAAGATTTATTACCTCCTAAAAAGAATGTAGAACATTTTGTTAATGACTTCATTATATTGATGATATGTTAAAGGATAATATTTTAGATATATTGGGTTGAATAAAATATATTTTTAAAACCTATTCCACTTGTTTTTTCTTTACTTTTTTTTTTTTTTTTTTTTTGAGTTGAAGTCTCACCCTGTTGCATAGGCTGGAAGGCAATGGCATACTCATGATCACCACAGCCTCGACCTGCTAGGCTCAGGTGATCCTTCCACCTCAACCTTCCAAGTAGCTGGAACTGCAGGTGTGTGCTACCATGTACAGCTAATTTTTTTTTTTATTGTAGAGATGAGGTCTCGCCAGTTTGCCCAGGCTAGTCTCGAACCCCTGAGCTGAGGCAATCCTCTTGCCTCCGCCTCCCAAAGTACTGGGATTACAGGCATGTGAGCCACTGCACCCGACTTTTTCTTTACATTTTTAAACTGACTATTAGAAAATCTTAATTATGTAATTATGTAATCTTACATTGGTGACTCACATGTTTCTTTTGGACAGCACTGGACTGGATTGTGAGTCCTATCCTCAAGTTGCTTAGTACCTAACACAGAGGACAGAAGTACAAACAGTTGTAGATAAGCTGTTGGCAGAGTATTGTCGGGCACAGAAAAGAGGACACATCTACCTCTCTCTGGCAGTGAAAGTGCTGTTTGCTGAGAATGAGGGTGATAAAAGGACCTTTCTCCGTCTCAGGTGGAGGACCCAGCAATGTGCAGAATGCCAGTCATAAAAAGATTGATAGGAGGTATTCAGTGTTGTCAGGACCTAGGCGGCAGTGGCCTGAGACTCCAGGTAAAAAGGAGGCTGTGGGAGCCATGTCTAGAACCAGGAAGCCAGACTTTCTGACCAGTGCATGAAGCTGACCAAATAACATGCAAAGAATGACATCCCCCTTCTACATCCCAGGCACCAGCTTTCAAATGGTTCCCTCATATTCTCGTTTATTGCCTTTACCTCAATTTTATTTTCTTAAGGGCTGTTTAGAATCCCACCCTGGAAGCAAATGTAGCTCAGCCTTTGAGAGTTCACTTTGGATTAATCGTCTTATCACTACAGTTCTCCAATGATTTTATCACAGCTACTGATCCCCATGATTTAATCCTGAGCTAGTGTTAACTTTGACTCTTTCTCCAGTAGAATTTGGCAATAGAGAAGTCAAAATAGTTGAACACTATAGATAGAAATGTTGATAACTAAGTATCATCAGTAGGTGCAACTCAAGAGATAAAAACAGGTATTTATTTCAAAGCCCATACCACTTCAGTATTATTTCTGCTCACTTCATCACTTAAATTATCTTTTCCCTTTCTGTAGACAGGTATTTGGAAAACATGGCAGTGAGAAGAATAAGATAATCTCTAAAGTGTCTTTACTTTTTTTGTTTTTTTTTTTTGAGTGAGGTATCACTCTGTTAACCAGGCTGGGGTGTGGTGGCATGATCACTACCATCTGCCTCAGCCTCTAGAGAAAGAGCTGGGACTGCAGGTGTTTGCCACCACACCCAGATGATTGTTTTATTTTTATTTTTTGTAGAGACAGGGTCTCCCTATGTTCTGGCAGCGTCTCCATATGTTCTCCCAGACTAATCTCGAACTCCTGGGCTCAAGCAGTCCTCCCACCTCCACTTGCCAAAGTGCTGGGATTGCAGGTGTGAGTCACTGTGGGCCACTGCGCTTGGCCTCTTTCCATTTTAGTATTAGGCTCAGCACAGGGAGCAATCCCAGTACCCTACCAGGAGAGGAATCTGGTGGACAGACCACTTAAACTTGTGTAAATGATGGAAATTGATACCATGGCCAGGCAGTGACACCATGTCTTTTTTTCCAGGCATTTGGCCTCATTACAGCAGTGTGCTGTCTTGCCGACGGCGTCCTTATTTACCGGAAGCTTCTGTTCAATCCAAGTGGTCCTTATCAGAAAAAGCCTGTTCATGAGAAAAAAGAAGTTTTGTGATTTTATATTCATTTTTAATTTGATACTAAGTATTAAACATAGTTCTTTGTTCTGACACATATTTTCAACAGTTGTTCTTCGTTTAATCTCAATATGGGAGCAGAAAGAAGAGATTCCGAACACTGCGCTCAGCACTGAGCTCAGCATTGCTGTAGCTTTCAAGGGAGCGCAGGGAGCCTTGAGATAGGGTATTTCAGCTCCTGGGCAAGGGTGGTGAGGAAAAAAATACACAAGAACCTGCCTAAGTGGTCTTGGAATGCCTTTCCTGCCTGCTAACTGGCAGCTCAGAGTGGTGGGTTTGCCGAGACTTTGAGTTCCCAGGATAGGCAGAGACATTGTATTCTGGCTGGCCTTGAAGGTGACTGGAGGACTCCACTTGTCCACGGGACAGCGAAAGCCATGTGCACGTGACGGGAGGTGGCCGCAGCCGTTGGAGTGAGACGCTGGTTTTCAGGAGAGAGCCCACTACCGCCGCAGCGTTGGTTCAGAGCTGCAGGGCTAGCCTGACACGGCCAGACAGAGGGGACCCACCATGGATCCCGAAGACACCAAACATGAGTTGTCCCAGGCACCTTCAAGGGACCTGCAGTACTTGAAACAATCGGAGCCTTCTAAACCCCCGTCACGTCTCGACAGCTCAGTGAGTTTCCCACCCAGGAAGCATCCCACAGCCTCGATTCGCACTGCAGCCTCATTTCGTACTGGTACTCCGCCGCACTCTGCAACCTCGGTTCGCACCCAGGCTCACCCCACAGCCTCGGTTCGCACCCCGGCACACTCTGCAACCTCGGTTGGCACTCGGGCTCACCGCGCAGCCTCGGTTCCTACCCCAGTACACCCCGCAGCCTCAGACCGGGGGCATCTCCAACGCGGCAAGCACGCCGCACAGTCAAAGACATCCACCAAACGCCTACAGCCAACGCCATCCATACGACCTGTAATCAAGAGCTCAGAGGAGAAGGCTGCAATCCAAAAGCGAGCTGAGGGCCGGGCCAAAGTCCCGTCCAAATTCAGGGATGGCCTCAAGTATTTTTTCTTCTCACCCACTGGAATGTTGAAGATCCTGAGAATGGTGAGCGGACAGCTGATGAGCGCTAGATGAGGCAGATGCAGTGGCCTCGGGGAGTGATGCTCAGGGGGTGCCAACCAGAGAGCTTCCATAATTCACTTTGGAAGTGACCTCTGTTTTGTCTCACCTTTTCGTCCCCACCTCCCCTTGCTCTCCACACACTTAACCCTTGCTACTGCATTTGGCTTTTTTCTCCCATCTTATATTTTCCAGGTTTCCCCTCACCAAGGGAGCTCCCCTATCTTACATTTTCCAGGTTTCCCCTCACAAAGGGAATTGGGAAGCAATGAAGACAATAGCAGGAATTTATAAGTTAGCAAACAAAAATAATAAAATTGATCAACGCAAGAACTGTCACTTGAAAAACATATTACATTGATAAACCACTGACCAATACAATCAAGAAAAAAAGTGAAAAACGTATTTCAAGTTAGAAACGAAATGGGGAAAATAATCACAAATGCCAATGAAACTAAAAGGATCTACAGGAGACCTTGTAAATAATTGGATGAAATGTTTGATTTTCTGGGAAAATATAAATTGCCAAAATAGAGAAAAAGCTAAACAGACCAACATAAACACAAAAGAAAATGAGAACTTTACCAAATAAGTATGTTTCAAAAATGTAATCAGGCCTAGACTTTTTTACTGGCTAACTTTTTTAAGCCTTAATGGAATGTAATTCTGACACTACTCAAACTTTGTCAGAGAACAGAGAAAGAAGAAACACTTCTGTACTATTTTTACAAAGTCAGTATAATATTGATAGCAAAACCTGAGTTCAGAAAAATAAAATACAGATCTCACTTGTATCAAAGCAAAATATTAGCAGAAAATATTAATCAGTACTTTTTAAAAAGTATGATACCACAAGAAAGAAACATCAGAATGATTCAATATTGGGGCTCCATTAAAATAATTTACCATACAACAGGTGAAAGGGAAAAAATCATGACAGTAATAGAGTACAGAACATATGTTGCAAAATATTGCATTCATCCAAGAAGAAAAAAGGATACCAGTAGAATAGAAATACATAAATATTTCATTGACATTATAAAATTAAACATTTCAAACTAAAAGTCAACATCATTCAGTTAAACATCAGAAGTATTCCTACTAAAATGAGAGGGAAAAAGGATGCCCTCTAGCAAGACTTATTAAACATTTTTCTGGAATCACTAGCCATCACAATTAGGAAAAAGAAATAGTAATATTAGAAAAGAGGCAATATATATCATTTCTTTTAGCTAATATAACTGTATATCTAAAAAACCCCAAACGAGCTGGAAACAATTTAGAGAAAGATAATTTAGTTAGATGACTCATTACTGAGTTAACAAACTAAAAGCTTTCTTTTGGCAAATAACCACTTAAAATATAAGAAAATATTTACAACAGCAATCAAAATGTTCAAATCTGAAAAATGAAATATGAGACATGTGAAGAAAACTTTAAAACTTTCCTGACAGATATTTTTAAAAACTAAAATAAATGGAAAGACATACTTTGTTCTTGAATAGAAAGACTAAATTTTGTAATCTTACCAAATCATAGGAATTTAAGTATTTCATTTAGAAATCTTCATTAAGACTGGACATAGTGCTCATACCTATAATCCCAGCACTTTGGGAGGCCAAGGTGAGAGTATTGCTTAAGCCCAGGAGTTCAAGACCAGCCTGAACAACATAGCGAGAGACCTTGTCTCTACAAAAATTAGCTGGGCATGGTGGCGCACACCTGAAGTCCTAGCTACTTGGAAGCTGAGACAAAAGGATCACTTGAGCCCAGAAGTTTGAAACTGCAGTGGACTGTGATCATACCACTGCACTCCAGCCTGGGCAACAGAGTGAGACCCCAGCAAAAAAAGAAAAAAGAACTCCCAATTAAAATACCAATAGGCTAAGTTTGGGGAGTTTGACCAAGACAAACATGGGAAATGTAAACAGTCTGAGAATAAGTAATAAGAGGAAGACTAGGCCAAACAGTAGCACAATATAAAGTGAATTGTCTATAATTTTATAAGTGCTAGAGAAGAAAGCAGCAACTCAGTAGGAGAGAACAGTCTCCAAATAGATCAAAATACATCTGAGAATTTACAATAAAGGTTGGATTTCAGATCAATGAGGATAGTGCTGGCATTTCCCAATAAATGATATTGAGATGATCAGCAGCTGTTTGGAAAAAAAAATTGAGGCTCTACCTCATTCTACCAAAATCAATATATATTTACTTTACTGGTATATATGCATACTTCTTTCCAGTATGAAATATAAACTGTTAATAATGGTTACTTTTTAGGAGAGAGACTAGGGTTGGGTTGGGGGAAGAGAAAGAAATTGGGGTTTGTGATCCTTCTGTAATATGCATTATTATTTTCATGTATTATTTCTTTTTTTCTTTTCTTTTTTTTTTTTTTTTGAGTTGGAGTCTTACTCTGTCGCCCAGACTGGAGTGCAGGGCCGGCCCTGCAGCCTCGACCTGCTGGGCTCTGGCGATCCTTCCACCTCAGCCTTCCGAGTAGCCAGAATTACGGGCACGTGCTACCA